TTTATTAGTTATTAGTTTAAGTTTTCAAGTTTTTATTTTTATGTTGTTCATATAAATTTAAAATCTATTGAGAAAGCAATCTATTGTCTGTCTATTGAGAACTGAGTGATAACATTCTAAATCCTAAGTGTTTCTTTAGATAAGCCTTTGAATTTGATTGGCCTCTGTTCGATGCTAGTAGGTGGATGGTTATTTTACAGTGAGGACCATAAGTTAGCAAAGTCATTTGTTTTTTTATGATTTATTTATCCATTTATAATTTTATTAATTACTCCAGAGTTAGCAGGAAATTTTGTCCGTGCAAGTTCTTATTTTGTGCACGTTCTATATCGATGTTGTATCTCGGTTGGTTCAGGTGTAGATTTTTATATTTTGTAGATTGTTCTCCGTTGATTTAATCAAACGTGATACGTGATATTAGTTTAATTCTTCATAGGATAGAGAGGTTTAATTAGTTTTTTTGTTTAGTTAGAGTACGAAAGAAAATATCTTTTAGTTCTCTTAAATATCTCTTATATCTCTTTGATATTTTGTAACTGAAATCATTTTGAGTGTTTTTGTTTTTGGATACGTGATATTAGTTTAATTCTTCGTAGGATAGAGAGGTTTAATTAGTTTTTTTGTTTAGTTAGAGTACGAAAGAAAATATCTTTTAGTTCTCTTAAATATCTCTTATATCTCTTTGATATTTTGTAACTGAAATCATTTTGAGTGTTTTTGTTTTTGTTCATTTGATTTGCTGGTCTTCTCATTGTTAAGGTTGTTAAGATTACATGTCTTTATGTTGAGGTCTTTTGAATATGGTTTTGATAGTTTAGGTATTATTTGTGGATCTTTTGGTGTTCAATTTTTTATTATAATGTTAATGTTTGTTATTTTTGGTTTAGGAGTTATCATATCTTTGAGGGGATTTATTGTTAGTGATCGTATGGAAGGTTGGTTTGAGTTGTTTAGTTCGGATATTTATGTTTATTGGTTTATTCTTTTTTTGTTATTATTTTTGTATATAGGGCAAATTTGCTTTAAATACTCTATAAATACAAAATTTTTTTTTTTAATTTTAATTTTAATTTTATATTTATTCTATATTTTAATTTTATGAATATGGAGAATTAATGCAAAAGCCGGCGATCGGCGGAGTAAAGGGTATTTTCCTGAAGATTTTTTACAATCACTTTTTGAATAATCAAGGAATTTTTTTACTTGGTGTGACTAAGGTCTATTTTCAATTTACATTCTTCTGAGTTAGGAATTAGGAAATCTTTTTTGGGTGGTATTAATTTTATGGCTACATTAAAAATGTGCGTTAAGCTTCTATTTCCTTGGAGCTTATCTTTACTTATTTGCGCTGTTTTTCTTATTGCCTTTCTTTTGAGTAGGGTAACATTATGCTAAAAAATAATAGCTAGTAGCTAAAATAAAAAGGTAGCAAAAAAAGCTATAAATGTTATTAAAAAAAAGAAATAGTTGATAAAAAATAAGGGTTAAGGTAACATTGCAATATTAAAGAGCAGCTTCAAATAATAAAGTAATTGTTCAAAAGTGATTAGCCTATCTTTAAGCCTCAACTGAACCTCTAAGCTTGCATACTTGAACCAAATCCCTATGGCTAATTCTGGAGCCAAGTATGCACATAAGTAAACAATACTTGTGGCAGTGGGAAAATAGGCCTTAATTATATGTATGCCTAAGACAGTGTTGAGATTCAATACTGAAAGACTTAAGTTTATCGAAAATAATAACAATTCTTATTGTTTATTATTAAAATAATTAATTTACAAATTTGTTTAGATTTTTTTTCGTAAATGAAAAAATCGCTTGTATTTCTTGTAATATTTCGGAAAATCGCTGGACAAATAGCCAAATAAGTAATGTAACGGAATATGAAATAATATTTGGTAGAAAAAAAGAAGCAGAAAACTTTTATGCGAAGGCGCCCCTCCAAGAGCACGTCGAATCCGAATGCCGCACTTGCTGAGAATACGTGAGATAGTAATAGATTTTGTCTCTATTTTATTTAATTTTCTTATCTTACTAAATATAGATTATTAGCCGTCATTGTTAACTCGCATATTGAAAGCCTATTCGCACCTAATATCCTTTTAAGGAGAGAAAGACAAATGTGAAACGTTTTGTGCGAAAGCCCAAGTGTTAAAGTGAATAGTACCATTTTGTCATTTCTTTCTTCATGTTTACCTTCAACGATTAATTCATTTTCAGAAATATTTCGGAAAGCATGGACGAAATGGTTCTAAAAAATGGTACTAAATCCGACGTAATAGTGTTTATGAGTCGCCAGCACCACCCGGATTAGTAGGCTTGTTAAGGTTTACTCCTGAAGGGAATCGAACTTCAGCATCGTTGTTCTCAATTGTGCAATAACCCACTGAGCTATTCTATATAGATATAAATATATATCAATGAAGAAATAGGGAAAGATTAATATTATTGAAGCTATTTTCAAATTTAAAGATATATTTCCATTTAATAATTTTTAAACTAATTTTATATTCAAATTACTTTCATGGACTAGTTTTAATATAAATTGGCACTCAGAAAGCGGTGAAATCAGCGATGAAATTCGTTTCAGATTGGATCTTTTATAGGTTCTTGGCAAATGAACATATAGGTGGCAGTAAAATAGGAAAACGTTGTTATATTAGCAGAATTTTGATATGGGCTTTGGTTACCAGTAATGAAGCTATTTTTTTGATTTTGATTTTGATGATTTGGAGATTTAATGTAATGAAAGTATAAATTTTGCATTCATTGTAGTGTTTAGGATGTTTTTATTGTTGAAGTATTATTATTTTTATTTTAATCATTATTTTATTTTTGATCTAATAAAAAATTTCTGCTTTATTTCTGGTGTTTTCCTGGTTGGCTTTGTTGCCTGCTGTTTCTTGTAATTTGTTTATATAATAGTAGTTATATTTGTTTTTTGTTTTTCAGTAGTATTTTTGCTATTTTGTTGATTTTTCGAACTGGTATTCGTGAGGTTTATAATTTTAATATTCTTGCTTTTGTGTTGTGTTTTGGTTATTTTTTTTGGTTATTATTTATTGATTTTGGTTTATTTGATTATAGACGGTGTAGATTTGGGTTTGGATGTAAATATTTAGGCTAATGTTGCAGTGAATGGAGCAATAACTAGCAACAAATGTGTTGTTATCACTTTGCAGTGCAAGGCTACGTTTTAAAATATCATTTTTATTGGAACGTGAAAGCAAATGAGTGATAGGGTAACATTAGGCAAAAATAATAGCATCAAACTGATCTATTTTATCAGTTTGTGAGAAATAAATTAAAATTTAGTAAAACCAAAACTTCTTGAACATGCTTAGAAAATAAACAAATGAATATTGAAAAAATTCTTTCACACCATAAAAAATGTTTTTTAAAATGGTTTTGGTAACTAATTTGCTCCATTAAAATTATTTTTATCCTACATAAAAAACTACAAGAAAAAACAAGAGAACTAAAACTGTAATTTCATGATCAAAGCCAACGGCAAAATCTCCCAAAAGGTAATAAATAACTATTAATT